GAATGTAATTAACACCAGCTGAATTGTACACTTAAAATGGTTAAAACAGCAGATTTTATGCTATGTCTATTTTATCGCAATGAAAAACAAGGATGCTCAAATTATTGCCCAAGTCTGTTGGGGAGATTTGAACCGAAGGCCACTCCATTCCAAAGCTCATGCCCTCCCCCTTTTTAAATTTCATTGTAATGAAAATATACACAGCAAAACACATGCCTTCTCAACCCATGTATAATTCAGGGACACTGTTCATTCTTCAAGTTGCGCAACCATTCTCGCTATTCTTTTCTAAATTACTCCACCACCATGAACGTGAACTCAACATCCCCTCAGCAAAAATTCCCCTTTCGCCCCTCCCGCCCCTGCTAACCACGGATCAGCTTTGGTTTCTGTATATTTGCTTATTTCAAGTAATTGAGATACACAGTATTTGTCCTTTTGTGACGACTTATTTCTTTCGTGTTTTGAATATCTTACTGTGTTCGGGTGAAAGTTTGCCCAGCAAATTAGGATCCCATTCAACAATGTTTGTACAAATTGTTCCCTGACCTTGGTTACAATTTTTGCAAGGTGTGGGCGTTCTCGTTAATTGCTTTCTGTTTGTTCTGTTTCCATGGATCTAGCTTCCCTGCCCCTCCCTGCCTTCTCATCTTTGCTTTTGGGTAAATGTTGGCCATTTGGTCTCATAGAGTTGACTGTTTAAGGAAGCCTATTTCTCACGGGTGGTGGTGTTTATTTTATAAGCCAATCTATTATTTGGCGGAAAGGAGACCTCCGGGAGTGGCTTCAGTTGCAACTTAAAAGGGTATCTTAGGGCGATAATCTGGGGGTTCCTCTAGTCTCTATCAGTCCAGTAAGTCTGGACGTTTTTAGGAATTGGTTCTGTCCTACATTTTTCTCCGATTCTATCCGGGACCTTCTGTTGTGGACGACTCACGGATTTCGCTCAGTGTGTTTTTAAGGTGCAACCAGGCTGTGACGTGCAACAGAATTTCATGTCTCTTTATTCATTTATTTATTTATTGCAAATTTTCAAATTGTACTTTAGATGATCAAATCATCTGAGAAGCTGGACTGTATGAAGAAGGACGGGGCATCAGGATTGGAGGAAGACTCATTCACAACCTGCGTTATGCAGATGACACAACCTTGCTTGCTGAAAGTGAAGAGGACTTGAAACACTTACTGATGAAGATCAAAGACCACAGCCTTCAGTATGG